AGTACTATGAAGCTATCGGCAGCCACTGCAGCACTAGTTCAATCCCTGGCAGGGATCTGACCCTCATGGCGCAGCAGACCGCTCCTGTCTGTCTCGCCCCCTGCCCCCACTCAGCAGTGTATTTCAGTCAGTCTGTTGTTCTGTTCCCCACTGTGTCTCTGGCGAATCCTTTCACACACACTCCCCCCTCCCCCACACCTCTGGCCTACACCCCAGTTCTTGTATGTATAAATAAATCTTTAAAAAAAAATAAAGACTGGGAGGGAGGATAGGGAATGACTGGGGTAGGGGCTGAAATGCTAAGTATCACTGGGGAATTCCTCTGAGGATACCTTGGAAACAGTGAGTCACAAAGAGATCTCAGGGAAGAATGTTCCAGGTAAAGGGAAGAGCAAGTAAAGAGAGGCCCCAGGGCACAAGTGTATCTGGGTTCCAGGAATAGTGAGGAGGCCAGTGTGGCTGAAGCCAAGGTGGGGAGGGTGATGGACAGAGGGGTAGCAGGGAGTCTGATCCCATGGGTCTCCTCGATCACTTTTCAGCTTGATTTGCTCACCAAATGAGGGCGTGCAGGAATAGCGTGACCTAACTCCTCTGTGTGCTGGGTCCCTCTTGCTACACTGGCGGAGGGAAGGCTGAAGCAGGGACCAGTAAGGAGACCACCGTGGTAGTCCAGTAAGAGGGCAGTGGCTCTGGTGGGTAGCGAGGGTGGAAGCAATGAGAAATGGTATTTTGCAAATATTTCGAACACAGCCTGGATGTGTGTAATTAAGAGGGGACAGGCAGTCAGGATAGAAGAGTCAGATCACAAATGGAAAGATTACAATTGAAGCACATTTTACGAACTTTGAAAATTTTTAAAAGATCTTATTTTGTGTCGAAGAACTGGGGTATAGGCTAGAGATGTGAGGGAGTGGTGAGAGGGTTCACCAGAGACAGAGTGGGGAGCAGAACAGGCGAATCTATTGGAATACACTGCTGAGGGGAGCAGCAGGTAGGACAGGAGAGGTCTGCTGCACCACATGAGTCACCTCCCTGGCCGGGGATCAAACTCAGGCCATAGTGGTGATAGTGCCACTATGGGAGGCCCTGAGGTATATTTTATTTTTGTTTTAAAGATGTATTTATTTATGCATACAAGAAAGAGGTGTGGGGCACAAGAGGATTCACCAGAGATAGTGGGGAGCAGAACAGATGGATCTACTCAAACACACGGTTAAGGGGGAAGCAGGGAGACAGGAGAGGTCTGCTGCGCCTTGTGGTTCAGCTCCCTGGCTGGGGATCGAACTCAGTGCTGCAGTGGCTGCTGATAGCTTCATAGTGCTGCGCTTTAACCCACTGCGCCACCAGGAAGGGCCCTGATGTCCATTTAAAGACTGATCACAGTTCATTTCAGGCAGGTCAAGTCTGATAAGCCACTTTCACTTTCAAGTGGAAACATGGAGTATGCAGGCCTTTGGTTTCAGGAGAGCCTGTATGGATGGACGGGGAGCAGTGAGAGAGATGGCAGGGGACTGGAGCAGGGAGTCTCTCTACCCTGCTGACTGGTCAGGTCAAAAGAAGAGCAGCACCTTGGGACTGGGGAGGTCTCTCACTGTAGCCTCAGCCCCGGGGTGTCTGACAGGAGTGTGACCACTTGCCATGTAGTTCCCAGGCTGCATGAATGCTCTGATCACCTTCTACAGCTTTGCATCCGCCAGCTCTGTCCACTCTGAAACAGAGCTCTAGGTCAAGAGGCAGCAAACCAAGGCCCTTGGGTCACTGTGTCTTTCTCGCAAAGTTTTTTTTTTGCTCTGACACTGCATGCCCATGTGGGTTGTGTGAGGCACTTCCATACTGAGCAGGTGCCAGAGACCCTGTGGCCTACAGAGCCCCAAACATGTACTGTGGCCTTTTAAAGGGGAAGTTTATGCCCCGCACTGTAACGGAGTGGTGTTCTGTTGGAGGAATTCACACAAGATTTGAAAGACACTGAGGTGTGGCTTTTATTTTTTATTTTGGCTATTCTGAAACTGCTCTAATAAACACAACTATTTCCTTGGGCTCACCTCTACCTCTGCAAGTGTGATCCGAGGTCTGGAGGACTCTGGCGTTTTTACTTTGGGTAAATCTTGCCAAAGCAGGTTGTGTGGCTGAAATGACTTATGCGCCCCCCAGCCACGTAGTGTCCCCCTGCTCCCCCCCCAAAGGGTCTGCGTGTCATCAGGCTGCTGGCTGTCGGTCTTTTTCTGTGTATGTTCCTTTGGGTTTTTAGGCTGTGAGTGACAGCAGGTCTCTGGCTGGACAGTCACATAATACTGCATTTTGTTCAATAAAAATTGAACATTTTGTTCCTGATTGAGAGGGTATAACATTTCACCATATAGTATGGTGTTTTTGCCATTAAGTATATTTGCTGCAGATTTTGTCTTTAAATTTAGGGCGTTTTAACCCAATCTGGACTAGTTGTTTCATTTTCAAGGTAGGTAGCTATGCTGTTTTTCTCATTCACTTTGGCAAGTTAACTTTTTCTAGAAAAGTCCATTTCTTCCAAGTTTTAAATTTACTGGCATAAAGTTTATAATCCTTGTAATGTCTCTTTTGTACATTATTTTATTGGTCTCTTTAGAGATGCAGCTTTATTTTTTTTAAATCTTTATTTATGAATATAGAATTGGGGTTCAGGCCAGAGGTGAAGGGGGTGAGATTCACCAGAGACAGTGGGGAGCAGAACAGGCAGATTGAAATACACTGCTGAGGGGAACAGCAGGTGAGCCAGGAGAGGTCTGCTGTGCCATGTGGGTCAGCTCCCTGGCCTGGGATTAAACGTGCTGCAGATTGCTTCAGACTTAACACCTTGTGCCAGCCTGGAGGCCCTGGCTCAAAATGTTCTTGTATATCTGTATGATCTCATTAGGTCTGTGGTGAAAGGACTTTGTGTATCTGTAGAGGCTTATTGGGGAGCCTAGTAATTATTATTTTTTGTACATTTACTGTTTATTTGAAAATGTTAAGTTCAGAATTATTACAATCTATATAGTTTACATCATAGCTCATTTTTTGGAACAATGTATGCTTTCTCCTAAAATTCCCACCACCAATTCATCTGTGAACCATCACTGTGGTCCTTTGTGCTCTTCTCCATTTTGATTCCTCTACCTCCCCTTCCCTTGCAGAATGTCTCCTTCAATCCATTTTTTAAATTTATGTCTATAAGAATGGGGTACAGGGCCAGAGATGTGAAGGTGAGTGGGCTCACTGGAGTGGGGAGCAAAACAGGCAGATCTACTGAAATACAGTGCTGAGGGGAGCAGTGGGTGAGGAAGGAGAGGTCTGCTGCATCAGCTCCCTGGGGAATTGAACTCATGTCACAGGGCTGGTGATAGCGCTGAGACGTTAACCCCTGTGCCACCAGGAAGACCCAAGTTTGTCTTTTAAACCTGGGATAAACAAGTTCAGAACTGTAGCTTCCTAGAAATTTGGCCTCGTTTTGTAGTGACTCACTATATCCCTATGTCTTTCAGCTTGAAGCTTCATCTGCCTGGCTTTGCTGCAGGCAGAACTTTTGGTGCATTTTCCTCTAGAATACTGCACCCACTTTTAAATGGCATAAGAGCTGCATTGCATTTTCCTTGGTCAATCTTTTTTTTTTTTTTAAATATAGCTTATTTTTACATAATTTTTCTCATTTTAATAGGAGGATAGATACAAAACACATTTTCTGCTTTATCATTTATATCTCATCCTTTCTAGCCTTTAATACCTTTTATACTAACCTTTCTAGCCCCGCCCCCCCCCGCCCCATTGGCAACTTCTCAAATGCTTTCAATACGTATTTTTACAAGGAAAATGTTCATCTTTCCTCCTTTCAAGTAAGTCAAGATTTCTAGCACTGTAGCTGAGCACCTCTCCAGTCTTAACCTGTGTTGCGCCTTGTTTTGTAGTCCACAAATTAATCAGCACTAGTCATGCTCCAATTAAGTGCTTGTTTCCATCCGCTTACATGTTTACCAGCTTATCGGCACACCGCGTTTCATCCAGTTTCTTCTCTTTGGAGTCCAGCATGTTACGTACATAATGCATTTGCAGACTGTTTTCTTTTACCATGACCTGCATCTTAGGCAGGTTCCGGTCTGTCAGTCAGTGCTGGACACTCTGCAGGAATGTCTCTCCACCTTTTCTCTTAGCGCTTTCGGGAGCTCTGACTGGATTGTGAATTCTCACTTCATCATTCCCCTTACAGTCCTCTTGTATCTCCCTCACCTTGTTTCTTTGCTTAATTGCTTCTGATCTCTCCTCCAGTTCAATGATTTTCTCTTCTGCTGTGTCTAATCTTTCTCGCCTTACCCTTTTGAGATTTGAATTTCAAGAGTTTCAAACTCTAGACATTTAATATCCATGTGTGCCTTTTTAATGTCTTGCTTTTATGTCTTAATCGCGCCCCCCTTCCCCCCCCCCCCCCCCCTTCTTTCCCTCACACCCCATCACCTTCCCTGCAAAGGGAAGTCTTAGTGCATGGCCCAGAGACTCAGAGCAGGAATAGAAGGGTGCATAGCTACAGCCTGGCACTGTTGTCGGGCCACAGGATAGCGAATTGGCGTCCCCAGCCAAAGCCTCTGGGAGAGGGGCGCCTGGGTCATGACGTCACGGGACTGTGACGCGCCTGGGAGCCCCTGCCCTTCACTGCGCAGGCCGGGAATCCAGGCTCCTGCGCCGTGACATCACGGTCCGGGCGGGCGGGTTTTACGTCGGCCCAATGGGAGCAGCGCACCGTCCTCCCCTTTAAGGAATGTTGTGACCTGACGTCACCCGGGCGAGTTACCTCCCCGAGCAGCCGCCGCTGGGCTCAGCGTGAGCCCGGAGCCCTTGAGCAGCGCCAGGCGTGGAGCCCCTAACGCCCCTGAACCACAGCTACATCCCCGCGCCCGGGAGCCCCGCCGGGCCCGCGCGATGCCCTCGGACCGGCCTTTCAAGCAGCGGCGGAGCTTCGGTGAGGCCCGGTGGTGGGCGACCTGCCAGGGCGGGGTGGGGTCGCAGGGTGGGGGTGCAGATCTGCGACCGCGGCCGGTGACGTCAACCCGTGACGTCAGGCTCCGGCCAGACCCCAGGCTAAGACGCCACCGCCGGCAGGGGCCCCCCAGGCCGCCGCCTCCCCACTCGGAGGTGTCGGGCTAATGGGCCCGCCGGGCTCTGCGGGGGGAGGGGGTGGAGGCGGAGGCCTGGGGCGGGGCGAAGGGCCCCGCCTCTCGGGCCGCCGGGCGGGGCGGACCCAGGCCGGGCCTCACACCGACCTCCGCTCTGCAGCCGACCGCTGTAAGGAGGTGCAGCAGATCCGCGAACAGCACCCCAGCAAGATCCCGGTAAGTCCTCGGCCCTGTCCCCCTCTCCTCATCCCCGCCTGCCCAAGGCCACGCCTCGGGCTCACCGTTCCCGCCCCCTGCGGCTCCCAGGTGATCATCGAGCGCTACAAGGGCGAGAAGCAGCTGCCCGTCCTGGACAAGACCAAGTTCCTGGTCCCCGACCACGTCAACATGAGCGAGTTGGTCAAGATCATCCGGTGCGCGGGCAGCAGCTGCCGAAGGGGCTTGGGCCCTGCAGGGGTCGGCGGGCTGGGGCTGGGAAATGTCAGCCGGGTCAGTGGCAGGCCAGAGTGAGACCCTTTCCAGGGGGTGGGTGTGAAGCAGAGGATGGGAATCGTTCTGGGTGGGGAGGGAGTCAGGGCGCCCCCCTGTCAGGCCCCTCACGGTGGCCCTCCTCCCCACCTCAGGCGCCGCCTGCAGCTGAACCCCACGCAGGCCTTCTTCCTGCTGGTGAACCAGCACAGCATGGTCAGCGTGTCCACGCCCATCGCGGACATCTATGAGCAGGAGAAGGACGACGATGGCTTCCTCTACATGGTCTACGCCTCCCAGGAAACCTTCGGCTTCTGAGCCAGCTGTAGGGGGGGCTGGTGGGGGGGGGTTGTTAGGCTCTGTCTAGGAAGTTGCTGGCTCCCAAACCAAGCTGCCTCTGTCCCCGGAGGGCTGGGGAGGGATGCCACTCCCTAGCTGAGGGCGCCAACCATGCCTACTCTGCCCCAGGGTAGATCCTGGGCCAGTCAGGTTAGGATTGCGCCTCAGTGCTGGCTAGCATGGGGGAGGGTGGGAGCAGCCCCAGCACTTGTGCTCTGTGTGGTTTGTCTTTTTTTAGGCCCCTGCCTGTCTGCCCATCTGCCCTACCCCACGTGAAGCTCTGCCCCTTTGCCTGGACCTGCCCACCCTTGAAGGACTGGCCCCTGGCTCTGGTCTTGATATGGTGTATGGATCTGTGGTCACTGTCCCTCTGCAGAATAAAGATTGCTCAGGCCTGCCTGGCCCTTTGCCTCCAGCTGTTTGGGGGAGTAGGGAGGGGTGCCAGTGGGGCTATTCCAGCCTTGTCATCACACCAGTGCACAGACATGCAGCTTCTGGAAACCTGTGTCGTGTACCACAGTGACTTTAGGGGCCCAGCCTCCACTTCAGGCATGCAGTGTGACCCCAGTGCTGGCTTTTTCATAACAAAACATGTTTATTAAGTAGCCACAATCTAACAAGCCCGCTCACCTGCTTCCTCCCCTTTCCTGTCTGGGAGGAGGCGCCTTGATGGATAGAGCCACAAACGGGGTCCGTCCAAGTAGAGGTGCTCCTGGCAATTCCCCCACAGGCTTGGCTGCAAGCCATGACTCCCCTCTGGAACCAAAGATTATGCCCCTGGACTTGAACCGCATCTGCCGGAGGCCTTGCCTGCTGGCAACTCTGGCTAAAGGGCTTGACCCAACTTCTGGTCCTTCCATCCCTTGAAGTCTGTGCAACCCTGCGCCCAGCCAGGCCTACTTGAGCACAAGCATGGCCTCTGTGCCGTCCTTGGCGGTCAAGTAGAGCCCATGTGTGAGGTAGTACTCCCGTCGCAGGAAGGCGTAGAAGTAATCGGAGATGAGCAGGATCTGGGAAGAGAGGGTTCGAGGTTAGGGAAGCCTCCCCCTGAACCTGGGTCCCTGAGGGTCTGGGCAGCTGTTTGGGAGATGCTGCCCAGGGACCCCTCATGAGTTGACAAGGTCCTGCGGCGAGCTCAAATTACTGCCCTCCCACCCGCTACTGGGTTGATATCTCCATTCCAAACCCTGGCCTTAAACTTCAGACTGGTGCAGCTGCTACCACAGACCCCACCACTTTCTTGGGTGGCACAGTTCTTGACAACCCAGTCCCTGTGAAATCTCCTGCTGGGATCCCATGCCAGACTCCCAACCCCCTCAGGCCACTGAGTCGCCTGATCCCTCTCTGGTATAACCAGCCCCCAAGTGTCTGTCAGTTCCCCTCTACGCCTGTCAGATGACAGTCTCTGGCTGAACAAAGGCACTCACCTTTTTGGTTCCCTCGTCTCACCGCCAATCCTGACCCCAAGTCCGTTTTCCCTATCAGCCAGAGGGAGCTTTTCAAACCACAAATCTCGTATTACTTTGAGTAAAATCCTCCAAAGGCTGTTTTTTGTTTTTTGTTTTTTTTTAGTTTACTAGTGTGAAGACTGGCCTCCCTGGGGCTCGAGGCCTTGTTCCCCCACAGCCCCTCCACTCCCAATGCACACATGCATCACCCTTTGCCTCATTTGGCTCCAGCACACTGACCTCTTCCCTTACACTCTGGGATCTTTACTACTTCCTCGCCTGGAATGTTTTCTCCCTTTTATCTAGTCAGTACCTGCTTGTCCTTCAGTTCTCAGATGAGGTCAAAGAAGCCATCTTTTGCCCTCCAGATTGCATTTTGACCTATTAGCCTCTATTTGTTATCACAAACTCACCCAAACTGCCATTTTTACATACATCCGTAACACTGATGTCTGTGGAGCACCCCCGATCCCCACCCCACCCCCACCACCTAGTTGTCAGCAGGCGCATCCCCTTCCCGACTTTGGTAGCATTGTCTACCCAACTCTGATTTTCTCTTCTGGGCCATAGAATCAAAAGAACCTGAATAGCTCACACCCATCTATCCTACCAGGCTGAAGTCCAGAGGGGAACAGGTATTTGCCAGAGTACCTTAAACGCTGGGCCCTCAGGGCTACATTCACCTAAACTCCTAAGATCTCCAGAGCTTGGGGCAGGAGGGCAGGGCCCAGCCCCACAGAAAGTGGAAACTCACCACTGCGGACACCAGGCTGAGCCTAGGATCTAACCCCTAGGGCCCTGCCCAGGCAGTATCTCTCACTGCTAGGCCAGGAAAGAGTAAGGAGGGGCCTAAGGGAAACTCAGGATCAACTGCAGTGATGGCCTCAGGGGAAGGAATGATGGCCTCAGGGGAAGGAACTACCCTCCATGACCACAGGAGCCCACAGGGAAGGCCTGGCCCATGGAGTCTGCCTCTCTGAGGTTCAGTGGGTTCAAGGGTTGGCCTAAGACTACGCCAAGAGAGTTGTACTAGTAGCGATGAGCCTGCCAGACCAGGGATAGGGGGGGTCCAATCTGTATCCCACAATTCCACTCCTGAGGGTGTCAGCAGAGCAGATGAGACCCGGGAGCTGGGGGAGGCCCGGAGGGGCAGTCATCACATAAAAGCTGACCCCACACTGTGGCTCCTTTGTCACCCAGGCCCAAGGTGCCTGGTCTGGGAAGGCGGGGCCTGGAGCTGTGGCTAACAAGGTAGGGGCTGATCCCCAAGCCTGGTCAGATGAGGTGCAAAGTCACAATTCACAAAATGAACAATGTTAACTCTACTGTCATGCACAATCAGCTGGACAAAGTAGGAAATCAAATACTAGATATTATTTGAGCCGTATGAAATGGTTCAAAAATGGTTGCTATGGGCAACTTCATATGGTTCAAAATGATTGAATACTGACAATTTCATATGGTTCAAACTAATAGAAAATGTGAGAAAAATCGAGAAATACAACTAATAGAGTAAGCATGTCACTTAGAAGTACCAGCACAAATAACCAAGACCTTAGATAGCTATTCATTTTCCTCGTGTAAGTTGTATACATATGTTGATTTAAAAAAAATCCAGTTAAAAACAATCAGCTCACAAATAATAAATGAGGAAGAAGAGCCAAACTTTGTGGCTTTCCCCAAATTGCAAATAACCCCCGCCAGGAGTCAAAGCTCTGGCCCAATGCCTACCCCCTTAGCCCTAGGAGTGGGCCAGACTAGTGACTCACGCCCAAGGGCCCCGCGGGACGAGGCCTGTGCACACGGAGACGAGGGCAGGCGGGTGCCAGCGTGCTTCACGGCCAGCTTGGTCCCCCAAACACTCTCGGAACCCCAAGCATCGTCTAATGGTGAGAAAAGCATCCAACAAAGTTAAACCCAGGACCTCCACAGGATAAGACAGTCAGGTGATGAGAAACTGGGAAATACCGCAAAAGCCAGCCACGGACATGGGGGCGGCGTGACAAGTACATGCCGTGGCCTGGGCGGAGCTGGGAAGAGGGAGGGCGCCGCAGGAGAACCGCAAGCCCACAGCTGGCTCAGTCAGCAGGAAGGTACCAGGGTCAGCCCTTGCTTTGGACATGCTCGCCACGGTAAAATAAATGTTCTCTTGGGAACTGGCTGTGGGGCAAGTGCCCACTCTGTTCGAAGTTATTCCAAAATAAAATGTATTTTCAAAAGCCACAAACTGTTACATACGCAACAACATGAACAATCCTCAAAGCATCTGCTAAAAGAAAGTTCAGAAAATGGACATGTGAGATGGTGTTTCTCACTGTAAGCTTCACAGAAGAGAAACATGCACATACCTGGCACTGGTTAATGACATACATGCAGGAATAGTAGGAAACATGCTGATGTTTGCATGTCACTATGTTGGAAAAAAATCAGTTGTGGATGGAACTCACGTGTGTGAGCACAGCAGGCCCCCAAATAACAACATGGAGGAGGAAAAGTGGGTCCCTGCCAACAAAGCTTTCAGATACCATTTTGCTTATTAAACTATTTCCAAGAACCTGAGTGAGAACTTACTGTGCAGGTTGATGGTGGAGTCCAGGCAGCGGGAATATCGATGCGAAGTGTTACATCTTTTTAGGCTGCTTTGTGCATGTGAACATTTTCAAAATAGAGTTGGGGAGAGGGCGGGACAGAGAGAAAGAGCCCTGAGTGTTCACTTGGGCTGTCTGAGGGGGCGACAGCCTCCCTGACTGCGGCTGGCCCCAAGGCTTGGCTCTCCCCATGGGGACAGGCTGAGACCTCGTCTGACCTTGAGAAGGGACTTTCCTGAGGCCCCAGGATTCAGGCGGCTGAGGACAGAGCCCTTTTGCCACATGGGGCAGGGGATGCTGGGCCAGGGGGAGTGGAAACAGCAGGGGAGTTTGTGGCTGGAGGACTCCCTGTAAGTCACTTCCCCTCCCTGAGCTGCATTTTCCTCAGCAGTAAACAGTCTATTACACCGTGGCCTCCACCCCCTTCTCTAATCTGAGCTCCAGCTCCAGTGCTTGCAGTGACCGGAGGAGCAACCTGCTCTCCAGAGCAGCCCACACCAGGGGTGGCTGGGCCCCTCCGCTTCTGTCCTGCCACTCACCACCTCCATCAGTCCTCCTCAGCCATCCAACTCAGCCCCTTTTCTCTCTCTCGCTGCCACCTCTGCACACACATCAGTCCCCCACCCCTCGAGCCTTTCATCTGCCTATACAAAAGCCCCCAGTGCACCCCTCTGTGCCCATCATACCTCACTTTGGTGCCACTGCTCAGGCCCTACCCCTGGGCAGGAATGACCCCTCCTCTGCAGTTTCCACTTATACAGAGAGGGGCACCTTACTCCCCTGGAGTCTTGCCTGTGTATGAGACACTGAAGTGAACTCTTTTCCTGTTGACCTTCCAGCAAATGGGGGGCATCTGTTCCAGACCAGAGCTGGCACTCTGGGAGCACCCCCTCAGCCCTGGGCTCCAGTGAGGGGTCCCCAGATCACATTCTCTCACTGGCAGCCCTGAGCCCTCCAGGACTCCCCTATGGGCTGTGATGAAGACTTAACAGGGCAGCTGATAGGGACAGAGAGGGGCAAATGAGAAGTGGAAAGCAAAGATCAGCAGAAGAAAGCAGAGTCAGGAAATAAACAGCTGAGTATCCTGAACCGTCACCACCACGTCGGGTTATAGTCCCCACCGCGAGATGAGCAAACTTGGAGGTTATGGGTTTTGCCCAGGTGACATGAGAGTAAGGGAAGAGGTGAAGCTGTCTCTCCATCCTGAGGCCCAAACTCGAGTTCTTCCCATCACCCCACATGCCCCCCAGTTAAACAGGCTCAGTGGGAAGCAGCAGCAGCAGCAGCAGCAGCAGCAGCAGCAGCAGCAGCAGCAGCAGCAGCAGCAGCACCCAATCGCCCTGCTATGGGCAGACCCTCGGTGACACCCCTGTCAGGGCTGTGATCCCCTGTCACAGCTGTCACTTAGCTGAGAGGAGAGTTTTTTCGGAAAAGGCCCATGCATCTGTGACATCAAGCCAGCAGAGGCTGTTGACTCAGTGTGTGCAGCAGCCGCAGGGCTCAGGGCAGCAGACCCAGCCCAGCCTGGTGCAGCCTCCTGGGCACACAGGTGCTGGCACCCCAGGCGCGGCTGGTCCCCAGGCCTCCTGCTCCTGTTGGAGATGCTGATGCTCAATAGTCACTGGGCCAAGTGTGGCTTCCTCGGCCACACGCGTAGGAGTCTAGGAAAGCCGGAGCAAGAGGGCTGATGGCCAGTGTTGGGCCGGATGCGGCGGTGGCGTGACCTGCCACTCATGGCCAAATGGACACCGAGTGGGAGGAGATGGCGGAGAAGCAGAGCGCCACCCTCGAGCTCTAGAGATGTGACACAGCAGGGGACGCCCTGCACTGCAGCCTTGGAAGGTGACAAGGAGGAGCAAAGCCCTGCGATGGCAGTCCTCGTCCACATGGCACTCCCAAGTCACCTGTCCAAGTCCACACCAAGTCCTCACCACCACATGCAGGGCTGAGGAGACCGAGGCCGGAGCCACCTCC